GCACTCTGGCCAGAGCAACACACTGAGAGAAACCGCTATATAAAATACAGTCCATTTACCATTTACCATTTAAATAAAAACAGGGCGTGAAGGCGACATGTTATTCGGTTATTCTTTGTCACACAGTGTAGTGTGTTTGGGGCTTTGGACTGGCCGGGTAGAACAAGCCATCTGTAGACACAATATTCTACTTACTTTATCATGTTGCACTGGAGATGAATAATTAAACACAGCGCCTGTTGTTCACCGTGAGTCCTACAAACCTTCCTGAACATGATTCCAACATTGATATGAGATTCACTGGCTGCAGAACTTAATGAATCAGGAGTTTTACTGACTTGAGACCGGATCCAAAATGGAAGTGGCTATCGGCGCTCATTCCTAATTAATTTTCTTAGCTGCTGTTCTGGTTCTCTCTGGTTTTTGCTATGCCTGAGATGATTGGTGCATAACTTTTGCCCTCATCAAGACCAGAATCCAGTCTGATTTGGGAGTGGAGCTAAATGACACCCAGTCTTACACCTGCCCACATTAAGCACATACAGTACACATACCTTGTGACTCTCTCATGACCTGATTATCTACTGTAGATCATTAAAGGCTTGATTAACACCCACAAATAGGTTGATGACAGCTAAGCAGGGAGCTGCAGTGCACTTTCTTACATATTAATCTGTCACACGTGTCTCAGTATGTGCCTGCTGTACAAGGTGTTTCTTGCTTTTTGCCCAGTGCATGCTGGGAAAGCTTCCAGAAATAAGCAGGTACAGAGAGCGGACAGATGGATTACGTTCCTGCTGCTGCAGCGTGTTTGCCTATGTGTCTGTTTTTACACAAGAGCCATCGCTTCACTTACCTGCACTAGCTCCCTTCCTGCCTCCCTACTGCTAAACCTCATCTTCCCAACACACTCACTTTCTCTCACGCACATGTATCCACACGTTACTCACAGCGTGTGCCGTCAGTTCAAGCCCATTACCCTGGTGCTGTCAGTGCAGTGTTAGCCAGGAGCTTTATTTAGGCGGCGTCCTCCTGCTGTACTGTGCTAAAGCCCTGACCTACCGCCTTGTTAATTCTGACCCTAAGCCCAGAGTGGTAGACCTCTGTTTATACCTCTTGGCTTTGCATCCTGACATGACTTTCATGCATCATGCAGTGAGAGGAGGAGATGTAGTAAGGGCAGTAGTATACCGAGTTTATTTCCTTCAGGTTCACCCTCCGATGAGCAGTAATTCAAAATTATCATTATTATTATCAGTCTGTTATCTTAGTGATCTAGTTATTTGATGAAGTGAAACAAGTCAATAAAACCAAACGAACCATTTCCAGTATTGGATGTAAATGTCATTTGTGTCTGGAGCTGCTGGTGATCAAAACCAAACCAGAAGAGTGATTGACTGACATGTCTTCTGCATGTGGGTATATGCATCTGTTGGGTAACAAGCTTGCCATGTTAACTCTATAAGGTGATAGAGAAGCGTCTCCATTAAACTCATCTATAACATAAATGCTAAACTGCACAAAACACAGTATGTGACATGTCAATGAAACCCAGTGGTGGTTGTCAGGAGTAGGTGCTGTACAACAAACTGTGACCTAAATGTCTGTTTTGTCCAGGGGCCCCTTCAGTGTGGTGAGGAGATGCATCAACAGGGACACGGGGCAGCAGTTTGCTGTCAAAATTGTGGATGTCGCTCAGTTCACATCCAGTCCAGGACTCAGCACTGAGGGTAAGAGATCACAGCTTCTCACTGTTGTGTCCCCCTGTCTGTTTCTCACTCAGTCTTGGTGAAGTGCAGATGACGGGTCAGATGCTTGTCCTTGTTTATGTTTGAGTGTGTGTGTTTTTGTTATTAACACATTCACTGAACACACTTGTAGTTTTCTACTGCCCTGCTTGTCATTCACACAACCACATCTTTGAGCTGTTCTGTCAGAGCAGTTAAGTGTGACGCTGTGCTCAGTGCACCTCCGCTCCACATAGATCTCACTTAACATTTATTTAATAAAAATACACTTTCAAATCAAATTCTTGGAGCCACTTTCATAGCGTGTCACAAACTGTATGTAAAGGGCACACTGCAGGTCTAAACCTTTAAAAAAAAATCATACTTATTAAAACTTTTTTATCAGGCTGTTATTCATTTTACATATTTAAAAGTTGTATATAGTTTTGGTAATGTTTTTTATTGCAAAGTACTGTCACTGTATGAACATTTAGTGCATGTAGTAGTTGATAAATGGAAAGAGACTGTAGGACCTAAGCGTCCTGCATGTTCATTTCTGAGGAAGAGTCGAAGTCAGAAGAACCTTTGAAATATTTATTACAACCTTGATGAAGAAAAGCAATTACAGAGCTCTGGGTTCTTTCTCTATCTGAGGCCCTGATTCTAAACAGCAAAACCGTTCGACCTGCCTTCAGAGCAAAGAAGAA